TCTAAACAGTCCTTTGCTCTGCTCCCCCCTCCCCATCTCCACAAGCTGTTTCTGCATCTCCTCCAGCATCTTTTCCCTCTACCCTGTACCTTTACTCTCCCTATCCCAAAGTCAGATCCCTTTTTCAATCTAAATCAAGATACTCCAGTCTCTATCACATCTCTGATACTTACTCTTCCTCCCCCTCACTTTACACGTCGCATCAGACAACCTACTCCATCTTCACCTTCCACACTCTCTCCTACACCCTCCTTTTCCTCTGCTCCTCGAACATCTATCCCCTCTTCTCCTCACAAGAGATCCTTTGTTTCTCAGACTTCCCTACCCAAATCTCCTCCAGAAACTCTTGAAGACCTCAAAAAATTCTTAGGCATATCCCAAGAAAATGTTCCGCTCCCTTGTCCACCCTCCAATCCTTCTATTCCTTGTCCCTCTACATTCAAAGTATTTGCCGATATCCATCCTCCTCCTCCGCAAGTTCCCCTTACCCCTCTTCCTCCTACTCTTTTCCAACAAACCCCATTTTCTCCTTCTCCATGTACAGCATTCCCTTTTAATTCTCCTTTATCCTTACCTCTCCCACCTAGATACTCATGTGAATCCCTGCTGCCAGAACAGTGTCCTCGGGATTCCTCTCTTTATTACTCATTGATTATTTCATAACAGCTCTTTTACCATTTTTTACCTTAACACAATAGTAACTCTAGCTTCCCCAACAACAGATACACCCCATTCCATCCAATCACCCTTTACCATTAACCCTTTTCTATATTAATCTCCAATTTACATTATTTACAACCCCTCTTTACTCTTTTACTATCATACTATCCTATAACACTATAACCTTTGACATTAACTCTTTATACTAATCATTAACTCATTTACCCTTTTCACCACAATATTTTATCATAGTGCTATATGACCTTAGATGTCTAGCACATTTATTTGTTTCAATCATTAATCATTAAGTATTTATGAACATTTCTATATATTACAGGGAAATATTGTGTAAAGTAAATCAGTGTGCAAGCACTTTTACTATTAGTTATTATTTTAGTAAGTAGATGACATTCTTAACTTCCACCCACACCTCCTACCCAATCCCCTACCCATTGTTATTGTGGGGATCATAGGAGATTGGGACTGAGGCCCATTGTTAGGGATCACTCTTACCTTAGGCCTCAGCCCTCAGCTCATATAATTTCACTTTTTTCTTTTCTTTTTTTTTCTCTCTGTCTATCTCACCCTTTCCTTCTTTTCTTCAATTCCATCAGATGTCCACTTTCCAAGGTGTAAGAGCTGTGCTGAAAGAATGAAAGACTGGCTTTGTACCAGTCTTGAACAGCCTTGGCAAACCATTAGCATGGTTTTCCCTTGGTTAATTGTCTAGCCCTTACCCCTCATAGTGACCCTGAGGGGTAATCATTTCTCTTCCCCGCCTATATCAGTCTCACCATTGCCAATGATGAAGATTTTGTATCCTTATTACAGACATTGAGGCTTGGCCCTTCATCAACTAGTCAACTCTGTCCATTCCAGATCATCATCCCAGGTTATTACTCAATCTTCAAAACACATCCCTTCTCTCCCAACATCCTCCATTTCTCCTCCTGCAAAGTCTTTTTCATTTTCTGCCTCCTCTTCCCTTATAACTATTATTCTTTTTGCCCTTGCAGTACTACCTCACTTTAGACCACTCTGGCTTCCTTATGTCCTCCTCCTACTACTCCCACTTATAGAAACCCATGGAATAATCTGTTTAGCTTAGCCATGTGGGATTCTTTCTTTGTGTTTCCCCCTACAGCACCTTATTGTGACAATACCTTCCTCTTCCAACAATTTTTCTAAAAACAAGTAGGCAAAGTTTCCTTCTGGAGCTGTTCCGATTGCTCATTACCTGTATAGTTACAACTGTCTCAAGCTTGTGCATCATCTACCCTAACTGACCTCACTGGCAAACCTATTCTGCCCAGCCTCACTTCT